ATGGGGGCCCCCAAGCAACTGCTTGTTTTGCTTGTAGGTAAATCCGGCCCTGATCACTAGTGATATTTGTGCTAAGAAGCTCATAAACACCTCAATACTGATGCATCACAATCCAGATTAACTGGTCTGAGTTTGTCAAAACATAATTGAAGCTGCTCAGTATTGCCTGTTGATGTTTCAGCGTGATATTACATATAATTTCCATAAATATAGCTTGAATAAAATTGCTACACATTAAGTAAAGTTTCCTATGACGAGTCAAAGAGAATGTTAAAATCAGATTTTAAAATGTAGCTGCTACAAAAAACAACAACAAAAAAACAACAAAAAACCAAAAAAACAATAACAACAACAACAACACGCTAGACTAACTAACTATTCAGATTTCTTATGAAGAAAACATTTTCCACCATTGTTATAGAGATTAAATTTCATTCGCAGAAAAAATTCGCGGTTGTATGAAGTTGTTGCGAATTCGCGGTTGTATCTTCAATATCGCGGTTGTATGAAGACGCCGAAAAATCCAAACTTTTGAAAATGACGAAAATTCAGAGTTAACAGTGAAAATCGATCCTATGCCACCTTTACATGTGTATTTCGTTCTTTTCTTACAAAAACATTAAAGAAAAAAATTAAAGCCATTTTTATTTAAATTTGACCGCTAGCGTTGTTCACAAACATACAGATGGTTGGACAGACAGTAAGACAGATAAACAGACGAACAGACGGACGGGCAGACAGACGTGCCGCATATGAAGTTTTCGGTAACCAGGATTTAAAAAAGTGTATTCTGACTAGTCAAAGTGTTTGCGGAGGTAATTTACTACAAATAGGGACAAGAATGATCCAATATTACACTATCAGAGATCTATAATACGATTTTTTCTGCCGAAAAATCGCCGATTTTCGCTGCAGCATTTCACAACTTCTCTATACTACATATGTAGTAAAAATATTCTTTGGAAGCGTCACCAACTTAACATAATCAAAATGTTTAAATTATTGTTCAAGATCACTATAATAGATAAAATATTGTTCAAGATCTAAAATGAATTTGTCTAAGGTGGCCTTGCCTTGCAATTTGCGTGAAACTCTGTGTGAAATAGTATAATTACAATGAATATTTTTCTCGTTATAGTAATTGTAATCGCCCATACATTATCTAAGAGTGATTGTTTCTTCTCGGACTGGATTAGTAAATTTACAGTTTCGAAACAAAACTCGGAAAAAATGGATGACAGTCTTTCAGAAAACCACGAAAAACAAATTTTGGATACATGTCTTGAAGTGGTAATTTTAATACATAAGATTTGTTTGAACTTGTGTAGCTCGCTAGAATGCTTAAAAACATTGACAGTTCATCTTGCTGCTTGTTGTAGGTATAAGTTCCGCTACTCGTCGACAAACATCACTTATTTTTACTTTCCCTTCACTACTTAAGCAGTAAAGCTGACTATAAATCTTCAACCATTTTTTCAAAACTAGGGCTCCCACAATACGAGTTTTTCTGTCGAAAATAAGCCGACTTTTGCCTCAGCGTTACAATACTCTTTCTTTCCTACGTCCCTAGTAAGGCGAGAAAGAAACTAGTGGTGCTAAAACAGCGAGTACGCCTTCTCGCCTTTAGTAAATGTTATGTACTAGTTTTGTACGTCCATTTTATAATTCTGTCATTTGATGGCTGCTATCCGTTCCATAATGATACTCATTACGATACAGATTTCAATGTGATACAGGTTCTTACCCAATCGCAGAGAAGTTAGTATTGATAATTGACAAACTAAGTATTGATATTTTTTGAATCATAGAGAATCGTTCTAGTAGTATAAATGTACCGTTCGACTGTGTACACTAATATTTGCATTTAATGTTATTTTACGTTTGTCAGTTTTAATTTATTATATTATTAGCAATTTTTACGTGGAATATTATTTAAAATAAATTGGATCGTAATTTATTTTTGATCCTATTTGACAAGCGCAGCGGTAGTGGTAGAGGTAGTGTAGAATATTAGACTGATGACGTAGTGTTGTATGTTGCTGCCCTGTGGGTCTTAAATTTAGTTTGAATTGCCGGCCAATTATTTAGTTTGAAATGCCTAGTAAATCATAGGTGGAGTTGACACACCCAGATATACGATAAAAAGCCAAAATGGTGTTCCCGGAATTATTGTTGCAATTTTTTGTACTCTCTCGCAGACGGACTGGTAAACCAAAGGCACCTGTTGCAAGTAGGGTAGCAGTCCGCTGGGTGGTCTTGGCTGAATCCTGCTTGTCAACTGCTACGAAATGATTCATTGTAAAAGATTAACTTAAAAACGTTACCAGAAGACATAGAAAAGTATCGTATGAAACTGAGTGTAGTGGGTATTAATACACTCCTGTCAAGTTTACTAAATTCTCTCGTTCCTTGCTCGTAGCGTAATATCACACTCGTGTATTAAAACCCATCATTACATCATTTCATAAAGTACTATTGTACCACAATT